TGTTAGACAATGATACGTTGTTCTTATTACAAGAAAGAAAGGAGAACAGAAAAACACTCTCACAATCCAGCTGTCTGTAGCTTTAGTCTGAAGATGACTCATCTGCATTAGTTTTCTAGTATTAAACTATTGAGCATTCTTATTCTTTGTGATCCAGCAAATTGATGACTTTTATTCCTGCATGCTGACGTGCTTTTCACTTTTCACTCTGTTTCACACATCAATAAAGTCATCTAAACATAGCAACTTCAAATGAAACTGCATTGCCAGAAGTTAATGGACAAGCACTGATGTGACCAAAAATAGCTAAATGAGAATTGTTTTGCACATGTAACTCCTAAAGGATAGATCCTTGCCAAAAAGATAGGCACACAGCACCTTTACAGTCAACTAGTACAAATAAGGCACCATGGGATGCTCCAAGCTGATGATGCAGGATGGGTTTGTACTGGTTGCTGAGAATTGCCTTTTGCTGTCATAGTGGTGACAGACATACAAGAGAGGCTCCTCTAATAACTGTACAATTCCTTCCTTCCTCAAAACTTTCCCTTGCAATGAAATGAAGTTCCTTCACACAGAGAGTGTCTCAGTGAGTGGGACTCACACTGGTGAAAATTTTCAGATATGCCCAAGTGTTTGAGGATGGGGGATATGCGAATCTTGGTAGCTTACTCACCACCCTCTGACAAGGTGGCTCAAAATTCCACCGTGAACTTCCTAAAGGAGTAACACTGTCACCAGCAAAGTGTCCACTACATTACTCACCTCCTTTCTCAAGCATTTCTGGGTGTGTTGAAGAGAACAGACTTCAACCAGATGCTTTTTGCACTCTGCTGAAGACCCTTCTGTACTATGAAAGCTGCTAATTTCTTCCTACCTTCTACTGTATGTATCTCATTCAAGAGTTGTGAATCAATGCCCAGACTTTCCCTCTTAAGCCAGGAGAGTTGTTCGATGGAGTACCACACCTTACACACCTTGTCTGTACACATGAAGAACCCTGCAGAGGTGTGAGACATGACTGTCCCTTACAGACATATAGTAACCTTGTGTTAATGTTTTGCCTTTATTCCATGGCATAGAAGCATATGTAAATTAAACATATCTGTATACAGGTATATTCAGGAACCATATATTGTTTGCAATCTTTAACATGGCACATTGGGTTCATTACTTTGATTCCTCTGCTAGAGATTATTACCTTGCCTGGCACAGATGTCATGCTTACTCACAATTAAATACCCCCGGAATCTGTGTTAGGAAAAAAAAAAAGTAATCACTATTACAATTATTTCTCCCCTCTTTGTATTTCTGCTAATTCAGTAGACGCATACTTTCAACCATTATGCCTCACTCCAAGGTTACAGAAAAGTTACAGGGAAATATTTTTTACTGTAGCTTCTCAACAACCTGGGAAATGAATAGTAAAGCCAGAGTCTGAAATTTATGATGAAGTCAGCATGCCAAATCACACTTTTAAAAACTTATTTTCTACAGACAAATGACTATGTTGCTGTAGTATCAAAATTTTGATTGCAAATAGCAATCCTCCTCCTTTTAACCAGACTCCAGGCTGAATGGATGATGATGCACTCTTGCAGGTGGTGGAACTAGACAAAACCAGTCTGCTATAAAAAAAAAGGCAAGTGATGACCTGATGCATATTCTGAACAAGAGATCACATGGGGCACCAAACTGCAACCATGAACTTATTATTTTCTGCTTACAGTAAGGTGCTGAAACAATATTGGAAGCAGGAACTAGAGAGAACCACGATCCTGTGCATACCTGCACTCAAGTTCCTACAGAGTACTGTGGTACTCTTGGGTTAAGCCAGAAGTGTGTTAAAGCACTGGTAAAAATATGCTGAGCAAAGAAGACGACAGCATTTTGGATGATTTCTTTGAAACAGGTGATCCCTTGCAGAAGAAATGGCTTTGCATGTCTAAGCAAGAATTCAGAACATTACCCCGCTAGACATAGGGGCACATGGTGAGGAGCAACTCTGTTTGTGTCTTAAGACTGACAGCTGGAAATGCACATTAAGAGGTGCTGATCCAATTTCCAAGGGTTTACTCGAACTGTTGGACTGAGCTTGGAAGGGTGAAGATGGAAGAATACCATACTTGGCCTAGATAAGATAAGACATAAAGCCATCAGTGTTTTCAGTGCTGGGACAGTTTAGGGTTTGGGCAGAAGTATCACTGTGGACAACTAAGGCAGTTTCATGGAAGCAAAGCCTGATGTGCTGAATGGTATCTTGTAGGATCATGGCAGAGGCTTTTGAAGCCTTGTTGTGGTTTAACCCCAGCTGGCAACTAAAGCACCACGCTGCTGCTTGCTCATTTTCCCCCATGGAATGGAGAGAAATGGAAGAATAAAAGTGAGAAAACTCATGGTTTGAGGTAAAGACAGTTTAACAGGGAAAGCAAAAGCTGCTCATGCAAGCAAAGCAAAAATGGAATTAATTCACCATCTCCATTTGGCATGCAGTTGTTTAGCCTACCCCAGGAAAGTCAGGCTCCATCATGCATAACAAGTACTTGGGAAGACAAACAGCATCACTCTGAATATCTCCCCTTATTTCATCTTCTTCCCCCAGCTCTATATGCTGAGCATGATACCATACGTTGTGGGATATCCTCTTGGTCAGTTGGGGTCACTTGTCCTGGCTGTGTCTTGTCCAAATTCCTTGTGTACTCCCAGCCTTCTCACAGGTGGGGTGGAGGGAGGAGCAGAAGAGGCTTTGGTGCTGTGCAAGCCCTGCTCAGCAGTAATGAAAACATTCCTGTTTTCAGCACAAATCATGCTAGTCACTGTAAAGAAAATTAATTCAATCCCAGCCAAAACCAGCACATGCCTTCATTAGGCAAATTGCATTTAAAAAGCTTCAAGCTTTGTTCTATTTATCTTGCAAGAACTTTGGCTTCTTTGTAAAATGGATAGAGCCATATGTATCATCATTGGTAATGTGATTTGAAACAACTGTGGAAAAGGTGAATATGTTTATTCCAGAGGCCTGGTACTGGACAAAAAGGAGTGGCAAGTGAGACATGCCATAAACAGGCAGAGTGGAAGCAGGAAATACTGAATGCCACAGAACAGAAGTTACAAACACTCTTTTAAAACAGGAACTGGTTAAAATAAGGCCAAATGCTAACTCACAGTTATGAAGCAAAAATCAGATTCAAATCAACTCTCAAAGTAACAGATTTTTCAAAATTGTGCAGAGATTTGTATCCTAGAGATCAGGAGCTGTGCCAGCATTTCTTATCACTGTGAGCAAACAATGTGCAAGAACACAAATTTGTTATTAAACCTCTAAGTCCCACATGTTTGATAATCTGCAGAATCACATTAATGGATGTATTTATTACAGACTAGATGACACAGTGTGCACAGGGCTTTGGGAGCTTTCTTCTGATGATGTATAAAGATAGGCAAATATTCTTACTTGGACTGTACCTGGGATTTATGCTTGTGTTATGAAGAAACCAAGAGGCGTTTTTGTGGTATGAAGGAAGACTCATTTTAAAGGGAAAATTCTATGGAAGAAGCATAAATCTGTCACTGTGGCACAGTGACAACAACTGTCCTGGAGTTAAAAAAAACCCCACCTATTGAGATACTGGCCAGGAATAATTTAAAAAACAGTGTATCTTCTAAACGGAAAATACAGAGACCCTAGAAAAATTAAGTTAGCAGTACACCAACTCTAAGCCAGCTCTACATTGGCTGTCTTGATCTGTTCACAGACAAACCCCTGATTATTTTTGTTTTCTCCTTATATGTTAGCAGAATGACTTTTTGGGATCATTTCTGTCTAGGATTGGTATGTCTATGTACTTCAGCACGGTATGACTGGAAAACCTCACTCAGCAAATGAATGCATTGGGATTTTTTTTTTTTTTCTCGGAAACACAGAAGTTTAAGCCCACAGCTTCTGAAAACACTTGGGCCTTTAGTCTCAAGTTTCCTTTCCAGCCAGACTCGCCCTGTCTCTGTGGAAAAGCGGAGCCATTTCTGCAAACAGCACAGGTGGGCACCTGTAGGTGTGTGCTTTATCCTGTGTTCCCAGGATGGGATTAGATCCCCTGTATAATATCATACACAAGTCTTGCAGGTGGGTCAGGGCAATCCCAAGCACAAATACAAGCTGGGCAGAGGATGGATTGAGGGCAGATCTGAGGAGAAGAACTTGGGGATGGTGCTTCAAGAAGATCAACGTGACCCGGCAATGCGCCCTCACAGCCCAGAACGCCAACCCTAGCTGCATCCAAGGCAGGGGGGTTGGAATCAGATGATCTTGAAGGGCCCTTTCAACCCAAACCATCCTATAGCTCTCTGACATGCAGGTACACACAAATGTGCATATTTACGCGCCCTAAGCACGCGTTCACAGCGACAGCAGCACGGCCGCGCAGGCGCGGGCGGGCCGGGATGTCTCTCGGCGTGTCCCTCGCAGGCCGCCGTCGCGCTCACGTGAGCGGCGTCACATGACGGCGGCAGCGCCGGGGCCGTCGGGTGCGCGGTACTGCCCGGGCTGCCCAGGCCGCCCGCGGCCTCCTCTCGCTCTTCTTCCTTCCTTCCCTCCCTCCCTCCCTGCACGGCCTCCGCCGCTGGTACGCCCCTGCGGTGAGTGGGAGCTGCCCCGGGCCCTGGCTCGGTGGGGCCCGGGGTCGGGGCGTGCCGTCGCACGGCTTCTGGCGGGGTCTCTGGCAGGTCCGGGGGGATGCGAAGGGCTCCGCTGCTTCCGCGGGCTCTGGGCTCTGCCGGGCCCCTCGAGAGGCGGCCGGGCCGGTGAGCCCATGCAGGGAGCGGCAGGACCGTGCCTGGTCTCTCCCTGTCCCTGCGGCAGGCGCCTCTGCTTCTTCGGCTTAACTGCAGCCCCTGAAATCGCTGTTACCGATTCTGCCCTGGGGCAGTGTTTAAATGGCTCCGGGTGGGTCAGTAAGAGCCTGGAAACCTTCAGTGGTCATTGAGGGACATAGTGGTGCAGTCTGTATGCGTTTCTGCTCGTAGAAGTGATTTCAAAGGGAGGGCGTTTGTCCTCTGCTTGCCCAGGATAGTTCTTCATTTTTCTCCCTTCTTTTGTTAGAACTGTATTTTCCTTCAGTCATGAAAGCGAGATGTGCTTGCTAGGGATAGGCCTGAATGTGCTAGTTTGCTCTTGCTTGATCTGTAAGGGAAGCCAGAACAGTCCAGAAATAGGCTGCATGGAGAGGCTGGGAACAGTTCAAGTTGTAAGGAATTCCAGCTCTAGCTGGATCTGAAGTCTTTGCCAGCACACTTCTTGTTTTGGCATCAAAGTCAGGTGGAGATTTAAACCATAAAGGAAGGGGAAAGAAGTGGTGAAGGTCACTGTCAGTGGTAATGTGGTATAATCTGATAAAGAACTTCTGTTCGTTTTTATTTTTCAGTTTGCTTTCTGTACACTGATGATCTTGATTTTCTTGTTAAGTCTGTATAGCATTGTTTTAATTGATATACTTATGTTTTTTTTCTTTACCCTGAAGTTGTAGTTTGCATGTTTCTAATGTCTCAATATTCTTAGACAAATACCTGAAGTAAATCAGTCCTAATGTGTGGTGGTGGGGAGGATATGCACTGAATTTTAACCCTGGAAAGAAGACACGTTCTCTTATCTGTAGGGCTACTTGGATGATGCAGAATAGCCATCTGAATTCAAATAACTTAATTTCATTGTTTAAGGATTCACAAGACTTAGAAATAATCTGTGTCTTTTGTTTTAGTAAACTTATGATTGGCTTAGGGTTGAGTGTGTAGGTATAGTTTATTTTTGTTTGTTTCCAATAAGCCACGTTTTAAATACTTTATAAAACTTGGATTTTTTTCAGGAACTAACTAGTACAGTGTTAAGGAATGGAACATCTGGAAACAGATTTTTCTTTTCATTTTTTAAAATATTGTAAAAATAGTCTGCTGTTAATAAAAGGTCTCAAATCTGATTTGCACTTCTAGGTGCATTTTAACTATCAGTCAAGATGGATATCCGAGGTGCTGTAGATGCTGCTGTCCCAACAAACATCATTGCTGCCAAAGCTGCTGAAGTTCGGGCAAACAAAGTAAACTGGCAGTCATATCTCCAGTAAGTAAAAAAATTCCACATTCTTTTCCCCTTTTAAGTGTTCAACTTTTTGAGATTTTAGGCTACAGTGGAGCATTACGTTCCAGTGAAGAATGTTCTGTTTGCATGAGAGTAGTTGGAAAAAGTCTACATTAAGTGGAAGTGGCTATGGAAAATTTTCATATGACTTATTACCAGAAGGAGAACTCTGGTTTTGTCAACTGACTGCTGTAATAGCAATTAGTATAGGTTTGCATAAATGTGTGGTAAAGCTGTTTTTTTCCCCTTATAGTTCAAACACTAGTCTCAATTTTAGCCTTATTGGATGACTGCTGAATTAAGAGGAGTTTACAGCAATAATTGTCTTAAGTGTAGGTATGGTATGTCTATTGCTGAAGTGCTTTTTGTGGCAATATGAATTGTACAAGCAAAACTGGAGTGGTAGTCCAGGAGAATAAGCTGTACCTTAAGTAAAGGAACATTAATACTGGAGGACAACTTAAGAAAGTAAATCGGGGAATAGGCTGAAACAAATCAATCTTGGGAGAGCTGTGCTGCTGTTCCAGGCAAGCTCAGAGTTTCCTTTGGCATGGATATGATGACACTAGGAGAAGCAAGAGAAATGCTGTCCTGAGAGGACATAGATACAAGCTGAGGAAAAGTTTTATAGGTGAGGTAGGATAATGGGGAGAAGAAACAGGCTTTCACTAGTCCTCTCTACCCTGAAGTGAAATGCAACATTCTTGCAGCCTGTTCCTTGTGATAGGTAGGCATGAGAAATATTGACCAAGTGTAAATTACTATTTATAATAGCAAATTATTTTATAGTTAATTGCTTTGTAACTAACGTGGCAGAAATCTTCATGTTTGTAGAGATACAAACCATATGGATGATGCTTTGTGATTGTCAGCATTATACCACTTTAAAAAAATAGGGTTTTTTTTCACATTGCTGTGGTACATATAAATATGGCATATATTAAATAACCTTGCAAAACTCTACACGTGTAAGCTGAGAAATACTAACCCAGTGGAAGCTTACTAATGACTACTTGCTTTGCCCTGTCCTGTGTATTTCAGACTTGCTTATTCCATTCATTGAATTGTATTATTCTTTTCTATGTGATTATATATCTGCATGATAAATCTGCATAAAGGAACTTATCTTCTGAGACCTTTTTTTTTCCTAGGCTGTTTTTAAGATGCATGTGTTCCTGGTTGAGTGTGGTACTCAGTGGCTTTGCAGGCAAAAGAGAAAGGTTGGAGTGGTAACCTGACAGTGGCAGCTCCCAAGCACTCTCCAAACAACCCAAGTGGCTTTTGCTGTTTTGTGTGTCCTCTTATCTGTCTCATGGGAAGTGTGACCCAAGGATACCTGAACAGCTGTTCCTGTGCTGTCCTAGTGGCAGTGAATGGCTAGTTTGCAGTTACTTGGAATGAAAGTGGGAGTGCAGTTGTTCACTGTTCATGGAAGTGAATATGAGATTCTTTCACTGCTTCTCTGGTGTTTCTGTAGGGCTGGTGAGAAAAATCTGTTTGTTTTGTTGGTATACGGGATGGTTCTATTAGACAAGGAGTTGTATTTATGTAGTATTATTTGTTTGACTATGTGGTCTGCTGTTAATAATTTTCATTCATTCTTGGGATTCTCTTTCTCTGGTGCAGTATAAGATACGGGGATTTTTGTTTGTAAATCTTTATGTAAATTTGTGTAATGCAAATTTTTATGTAACTTCTTTTGACCAGAGGGCAGGGTTCTTTTTTGGATTTTACCTGTAGAATTTGACTTTGGTTTTGTTCTGGAATCTATGGAGGAATAAACTAGTTATTTCCTCTCTTTGAATTAGTCAGGTTTTGGAGGCTATTGTAGTGCATCTGGCTGTTGTTTGTGATCCTATGAGAGGACGAGTGAGACTTTTTGATTCTCGGTGTCCTTTGTGTGTCAATGACAGTGTGTCCTCTTTTATTACTGTTCTGAAATAAATGTAATTGTTGTGTGTCATATTTACTGATAACAGCCTGACTGTCTGGCTAAGTTGGCTTCTAGGATTGACTTAAATGGTGCCAGAGGGATTGTGGAGCATCTTGAAGATAACTATTTCTTTGGCTGAGGAGTTTCCTTCTAATGAGTTATTGAAAAACATCAGCAGAACTTTTGATGCTTCCAAAGGAAATAAACACATGGCTTGATTTGGATATGTCCTTTTTTTTTCAATGGATAGGCTTGCATATAATGGTGTCTTTGAGGCTGAGCTTTAAGGGCTTTCTTGGAAAGTCAGTCAGTGCAGTTATATTGATTCATTTCTGGAATGAAGCACATTATTAAATGAGTAGAAAGTACTTTCTTTGATGCACCTGTTAGAGGCAGGTCAGAGTGTTTGGTTTGGTCTGGTTTGTAGAGCAGAAGGAAAATGGAATGCCTGAAAGGACAGTTCTTTCTTTTGAGCTGCACTTACTATGCACTTACTGTGATAAACTTGCACATAAATATAGGAAGGCATTACTTCAAGTCATTAGATGTTTTTAAATTAGGGGAAATATTTTTGTTTTCCCTAAGTTAACACATTAACTCAGGTGTGACATGATTTATGCTTCTTAAATATGATGTATGCTTCTTAAACTAGAGACATTACTTATGTAGTTGAGGAAACTATAGATAGTACTTATGTAGTTGAAGTAAAAGAACTTCACAAGAAATTCTGATGAAATGTTTCTTTCTCCTCTGGCTGTGGCAGTTGTATGTGTATAAAGGCGCTTTGAAGGTTGCATCACTTGCAACAGCATTTGACTCAGGGTCACACAGAAGGGCATTCTGAAATTCTTTTCTTCTCTCTATTCTTCAGTGTAAAAGTAAAATGGCTTACTTGTAGCTGGTCAGACTTCAGTAGCCTGACTTCTTGTAGAGTCAGTTAAAGCTAAAGATTAACTGACATAGTGTTTATTCCATCTCTGAAGGTTGTAACTGTAAACTAAATATCAAATTACATTTACACACAACTGCTGACTTTTGATGGTTTTTTCTGTATATTGTTAGATATCACAATTGTCTATATTACCAGCTTGCTAGTGTGTTCACTGCTCCTTACAAAATTAGGCTATGGAAAAAAATAATTTGTTTTCTGGTGCTAAAATTTATCCTTTCTTTATGTTGGATTCCAGCTGGGGTGTATATCTGAGGGAGAAGAAAGTAACAAAGCTTGTAACAGTGGAAGGTGGTGTGTAGATCTGCTTGTGCAGGCCATTAGTTCTGTATGGACTTTGCTGCCTTTGGATCTTGAGACTTGTGGCAGTTCAGAGGTGTGGGTGCCCTCAGTGAGTTGAAAAGGCAGTGGCTGTTTTGCTCTGTGTGGTTGCTCTTAGCATTTGCCTCAGAGTGTCAGAATGCCAGAGGAGGGTGTGTTGACTTGCTTGAAGCAGGTTTTGGTTTGCTTATTGTAGTAAATGGGTTCTGTGGAAAATTGAGCTTGTTTCAGAGTTTTAACTTGCATCTTACTGTGCTGTAGGTTTTCTAGATACACAGCATTTAACAATACTTTATATTTAATCAGGTGAGATACTTGGTGGCTAAATTGTACATAGTTTCCTGTGTGTTTTCAAATGCATGTTTGTGAATTCTGATGCTAAATTATCTGTTCTATTTTCCCAGTGGAAGAACCTTCCAAAGCAGGTTAAATATCTCCGACTTTAAAAGTCTATCTTAGAGGAAATATAGAAGTTTCCTAATTTGTAGTGTATGTGTGGGGTTTTCTTCTGGTTTTTTTTTTTTTTTTTTTTTTTTTTTTTTTCTTTTTCTCAAATCTGATTGAGTCTTGTAGAGTACATTCACTCTGTTTTACTGGTTTAATTTTGTAGTGCTAAAACCGTTGAGCAATTGGGTAAATTTAGTGTCTCTAGGTACATGCAAATACCTGGATAAAAGAAATTATGCCTTGATATGATGGCTTCATATGAGCTTCATATTTACTGCATATGTAGTAATTTTTTTAAATATTAAAAACCCAAACCAAAATGAAAACCAAGCAAAAATATCCTAACATCCAGAGAGGTTTTTGTTAAATCATTTAAAAAAAAAAAAAAAGCAAACAAGAAAAAAACCACCCAAAAAAGGGGAACAAGACTTGCTGGAGGAAATGCATAATTAAAAGAAGAAATCACAAGATTCTGGATCATACTGAGCAATCAGGAGGATTTAAAAATGGTGGTCTTGCAGTTCACGTTTTCTAAATCCTAGAGTTTCAGTTTTGTCTCCTCTAGCAAGTGCTCTCAAAGGCAGCTCCTGGTACTCAAGAGCTTTGAAAGGTAATTGCAGGGCTCCTGGCCTAAGCCTGATATGGTCAGACAGGAGGAAAAAAATGGGAGAATTCACATGTTTAAATAAAGAGACTTTCATAGGACAGAGAAGGAAGAGGACAAAAAAAATTAAAGGATTTATACTAGATCTGGAACACAGAACTGTATAAGCTACTGGGAAGAATATTAACTATCCCAGCTGAAACTGAGACATAGCTGAAACTCAAAGTGACTTCTACCTTGGCAAAAGACTGTAGACACAGCCTGGAAAATAACAAATTAAATGGTGCTAGGAAGAGGGGTAGAGCGGGGCTTTGGTTGCTTGTTTGCTAAAAAGTGCTGGAAAATTGCTGCTGCTTTGAGACAGCAGAGGGATGAGGAAAATATGTAATAGCACCATGGGATTCAGTATCAGCTGAGTATCAGTCTGAGGCTGTTCTGCACTTTCTCATGTTTTTTGGTTGTTTTTTCTTCTCCCCTCAACTGTATAATTGGTTATTTCAGTTTTAAAATGAGATGAATGGAAATAGATGGACTTGAAATTACTAAAACTATTAATCAGATGTATGAGTTCCTTGATAAAATATTAACAGCTTGTTTAAAAAGCTGTCAGACCCTTTGTAATGTTTTGTATGGGTTGGAAGATGTATTTTAGAGTGGCAGTATCAAAGCGATAAAGAGTAAACTTCAATGCCTTTTTTTCCTCACAGCAATATCAATCCCCACATATATTTTTCTTTTTTTCCTGTGGCCTAATGTAGGATAAAAGCAAAAGCTTGAAAGCTTTTTTCCTTTGCAGTTGGCCGACCTCTTCTAATAGACTACTTCTTTCCAGTCAAGCTTTCTCCAACATTAAAGTTGAAAATTAAGGGTTCATTTTATGTATATCTAAGGTTCACCTTTGAAGTGTTTTGCAAGTGGCAATATTCTTATAAACAAGCAGCTTATCTGGTTACTTCTGTATCAGTAGGATTCACGAGTCCCTGGCTTGGTGAGCATTAATTGAAACAAAAGTGGCTTCTAGTTATGGGTCTTTAAATCCAGTATTTGTGGTAGATGAATTGTCCACCTCACTCCATAATTATTGAAATCCATCCTTAATAGGCAAGAAAGAACATATGTCAGTCTAAAAGGCCTGGTAGCAGCATGGTCATCATTGGCTAATCACATATGATTCATCTATAATTAGTTAAGTTTTTGCAGAAGTTGGGCAAGGACTACCCTACCATTGGCTTTAGGAATCTTCCATCTAGTAAATCTTGATTACCTTTCCTCAGTGCATATGAGGATACCGCTAACAAAGCAGCTGGAATAGCTGCACAAGAATAGCACACGTGGCACTGGAGTACTTATGTTCTTTTCTTGAATAGTAAATAGATAAAAGATGGCTCTGTGGTGAGGCCATACTCAAGACATAATCATTTAAGTAAGAGGAAAGAAAAGAACACATTGTAGATCTTATTTCTCTATTTCAAGAATCCAGGTGAGCCAGTTAAAAAAGAAATGAACACTTCTGTAAAGTTTACAATGATGTAAATGTAATCTCTAGTCAGGGAACATCTGAAAACTGACCTTGAATATGGAAAAGATAGGTGAGGAGTCCGTGCTACATAGCTTTGCAAAGTAGAAGAGGCATTTCATTCAGTGGAAATGTTAAGAGGAGATGAGTCTTGGAAATAACTGAAGCAGGAATGTCTAATGCTTTCATCCCTTGTGGCTGCATGAATTTCTTCTTTCCTGAAGCCCTCCTGGTATTACCTAGTAAAGCTAGTCACCTGTTAAAATCTTGGATATTTTTAGGACTGCTTGATTTAAAATTACTTTTCTTAACTAAAGTGTACCTGACTGTACTATTTTGACAAGTTTTTTTTCTTTCTTGTGAAGTTTTGTATTATAAAAAACCCAAGTAGTGTTCTACAAGTCTGTCTGACTCTTCAGCTGAGTCAACAGCTTTCTGAAATATCACTGATGATGGCAGTAACCACTTGAATATCAAGTTGAAGGGAAGATTATAAGTAGACATGTTATCTTATAGGTGTCCACAACAGTTCACAGTATCAAGCCCCCTTGCTATGTGTTTGGATGAACTTGCATGCATATCAGTTTTTAAACTCAAAATGTAGTTAGTGAAAGCTAAAAATAAATTTGGAACCACAATCTCTGTTCTCATTAAAATTTTCTTCAGTGTTTATGGCAAACTTAAAATAACAATTAATTTTGTTTTTCTGCACTTATTTCTTGCTTGGATTAGACTGTTGCTCATGTTATGTATTATCATTTTGGCATAACATGCTAGCTGTGTGTATTTCAGTTCTTACCACTGACGTTGCATTCAGCCCCTGGAAGATGAAAAACTATTTAGAGAATGCAGTTAAAAGTGACACATAGAGAAAGCTTATTCCACCATTAGTTTTAAATTGTTTAAGTGAGACCCTTTGCAGAAGGAAGCCCATTACAGTTTTTTGGGAAACAGCATTGGTAAAGTGATATGGTTGATACTGTATCCCCTCTACTCTGCTCTCACAAGACCCTGCCTGAACTGCTGCATCCAGCTCTGGAGTCCTCAGCACAACAAAGACTCGGACCTGTTGGAGCAGGTCCAGAGCAGGGCCACCAAGATAGTGACAGAACAAAGGGCAATGGTTTTAAACTGAAACAGGGCAGGTTTATATTATATATTAAGAAGAAACTCTTAACTGTAAGGTTGATGAGGCAGTGGAACAGGTTACCCAGAGAGCTGTGGCTGCTTTATCCTTGGAAGTGTTCAAGGCCAGGTTGGATTTGGCACTGAGCAATCTGATCTTATAAGTGACATCCCTGCACATGGCAGAGGGGTTGGACCTAGATGATCTTCAAGGTCACTTCCAAACCAAACAGTTTTATGATTCCATGATAGCTCAGGATAAAGAAAACAAGGTTGGTATGATGGGTTGATGTTGACTGTTCGCTAGGTACCCATCAGGACAGGACACTCTTGCTCCATCAAAAGAACAGAGGAAAAAAGACATGACAAAAACCTCTGCAGTTCGGGTGTAAGGACAGAGAGATCACTGACCACTTATCATGGGCAAAACAGGCTCTACTTCGTGGCATTAAACTAATTTATTGCTGATTAAATGGAGTAGGTCAATGAAAAATAGGAAAAAATCTAAAAAACCCATGCTGCCCCCCTCCCTTCTCAGGCCAAACTTTGCTTCAATTTCTCTGCCTCCTTGCTTTGAGTGGTGTAAGGGAATGGGGTATGGAGGCTGTGGTCAGTTCATAACAATCTCTGCTGCTCCTTCCTTCTCACACTCTTCCCCTGCTCCATTCTGAGGTGTCCTACTCATGGATTATGGTCATTCACAAACTCGCCCAGCATTGATCCTTTCTGCAGATTCCAGACTTCCAGGGATGGGCTGCTCCAGCATACATCACCCTTGAGGTCACTGCAAGAAAACCTGCATGGACTGCAATTTTGTGTAAGGCACGTCTGCCTACTCCAGCAAGGGTGTCCTCCATGGACTGCAGGCGGATCTCTGCTCCACCTAGGATCTCAATGGGCTGCAGGGGGACAGCTGCCTCACCATGGTCTTTGCCACAGGCTGCAGGGGAATCTGTGCTCTGGGATGTGGATAACCTCCTCTCCCTCCTTGTGCACTGATCTGGCAGTCTGCAGGGTTGTTTCTTCCACATGTTCTCAGCCTGTCTCACGGCTGCTGTTGCACAGCAGTTTTTACTCCTTGAATATATTATCACAGAGATGCTACTGTTATTACTGAGTGGCTCAGGTTTTGCCAGTGGTGGGTCTGTCCTGGAGCTGGCTGGAACTGGCTCTGTCTGACTTGGGGGCAATTTCTGGTGTCTTATAGGAGCACCTAAGCGGTCCTCTACTAACAAAACCTTGTCATGTGAACCCAGTACAGTTATTTCCAACTTACTGTTCATGTTACTTATATTTTAATGTTTTGTTTTTCAGAGGTCAGATGATTTCAGGTGAAGACTGTGAATTTATTCAAAGATTTGAACAGAAAAGAAATCCAGAAGAAAAACAGGAGCTGTTGCAAACAGAAGGCAATCAAGTAACTTTCTTTTAATGAAGCCTCTATGGGGAGGAAGTTTTCGTATCAACTCTTATTTTACTGTTGACTGTATACAGTTAAGATGTTGTGGGTTAATAAGATGTTAATAAGTATAAAGCTTTCTGCCATGATTCTTTTATTTTTCCTTAGTTATAGATTGGGTATTATTTCATTATTTTTAAAACCTACTAAATAATTGTTAAATGTCATCTTACTTTTGACTCTCTTGTGGGACAAGCTAGCTCAAGTCTTCCCTCATCCCAGTTTACTTAATCGTGCACACTTGTACTTGAGTCAGTTCTTCTTTTTGAGCTTTTTTCTTTATAGTTTATTGATGACAATTACTTCCAGTAAGATTGCTGTTTAGTTAGCTAAGGAATTGTAATTTAGTTACAACGTGGAGTCCATTGACTGCTGAGGTGGATTCACTTAGATATGGGGGTCTTGTGTCATTTTAGGCATAGTAAGATATGAGACTTTTGTATTGGTTAGAGCTGATCCAGAACTGAATCAGCCCTTTGCCCTTATGGAGTCCAAGCAGGATGCCTAAACACACTTTAATAATATTTGAATCAGTAGAATCTCAGCTTGAGGTTCTAGCACAGAATATCAGGCATCAAGGGGATTGGGAGAGGCAAGAAAGAAGGTGAAGTGTGGATGCTTTCATGACACAAACATTTCTAGCCATTTTTTCTACTTTAATTTTAGGCTGTTTGTTTTGGTTTGGTATTTCTTTTCTCTCCAAACTGTACTGTGTTACTGTTACCTAATGGATCACAGTCTGCATAGTAACAAAAACATATGTGGTGTATCTTGTATGTCACTATGTAATTGCAATGTAGCAGTTCAGAATACGATTTTATTTCTGTTTTAGTTGAATGTGGTGAAGGGAAAGGAGGAAGTATAAAAAGTAATGTAACTATTTCAGCCTGTTGCTGAAATTGTGACATTCTTCAAAGATGAACAAAGATTTTTCTACAAGGTATATAGTAAGTGAACAGAGGAGTTACTGGTCTTCGTCCCTCTATTTAAATTGCTGAAACTTTTTTTCCACTCTTAGTTGCTGTTTTGTCAGTTTACTTGATCTTCTCACTACCATAAAAAAAAAAGGGTGCTGAGGGAGGCTTTTCTAATCTGACTTTCAACCAAGCATGTTGCTGACTTTCACTAGCAAGTACTTATTTAATTTGAAAACCATAAAACAATTTGTAAAGGGTAGCAACCAATGTGACAGAAAATGTTCTTTGTGAGATAATGTCAGATGTATTAATCTCTTACTGCAATTGAATAAGATGTTGGGATGCTCAATGCTTATGTAAGACTTACCTGTGAATTAATAATGTCCTGTTTTATATTATGAAAAGGAACAAAGACAATTGCTAATATTAATTTTAATGTCTCTTTTATTTTTCTAGTGTGCTAAAACATTTATAAACTTGATGACTCATATCTCCAAGGAACAGACTGTTCAGTACATCCTGACTATGGTTGATGATATGCTGCAAGTAGGTTAATAATCTGTATTATTTTTAAGTCTTTAAATGCATGCTTGAATGTTTCCTTAGTGTAATTAATGTATTTTCAGGTGTTTGTCGTACTGTGTTAAAAATATTCAGTTAAATTTTCAGATTCTGTCTTCAGAGATTAGATGCTAGACCTAAAATTGTAAGGGTAACTTAGCTTGTAATATGTTCAAATTCTGGAAATAAAACAAACTTCTGTGCTTGTCGGTTGGTTCTACACTATGTTTAATTCAAAACTTGGTTGTTAAGGCTGGTGTTGCATAGTGGTTTCATTTCATGTGATCTTAATTTGCAGAATTTTTTTCTAAACTCTTTTGATAGTTGATATATTGGCTTATGTTGTGGTAGACTTGTCAGTGTTAGATTAATGGTTGGATTTAGTGATCTTAAAGGTCTTTCCCAAACTAAATGATTCTAAAATTCGGTGACTTGTGACCTCAGCCCTTTCCTGTGGTGTAGGGAGGCTTGACTTCTCACTTGAAGTTGTTGAGGCTTTTCCTGTGCAGGTGTTAATTTGGCCATCCTCAGCAAGAAGTTTCTGCAGCTTCAGGTTTCCAACATAAGTTAGGTTGTTTGGGACAACATGTTTTGAAATTCTGCATGGTTTAATTATAAACCGTGAACTTTTAATTCAATGTAACATATAGCTCTTTGTAGCTGTGGACAGCAGTGGCTTATAAGAGTGAGCTATTAAACTTGGTCTCAGGACTGCTGAGCTGATTGGGATAGCTCAAGAAGAGGCTTTACTCAATCAGATAATCCTGCTTTTATATTTCCTTGCTCTGAAGCTGGCTAAGAGAAGGCATTTGGAGTGATGTAACAAGATGGCTTGAGTTGTGTGAGGTTTTTTCCTAGTACTCACATGAGTTATCACTCTTTGATAGTTTCTCATGTTTTATGATATATTTGATCCAAGGTTACAGTGAAATGTGTTTAGTGCTATTGGTTTAGGGTAGTCCCCTAGGAGGTGAACCATGTGAGTTCTAATTCCAGCTCTCAGTATTCAGTATTTCAACAGGCAAGCTGAAAAGCATGAACCTCTTCACAGTTTGTAAAACATGGGCACCATGGTGTTCTTTCATGTGCCTGTCTGCACAATAGAGCCCTAAGTGAGTGCCCTGACATCTAGGCTAATAGGGTAATAGCTAGTGGTGGTGGCAGCAGTTTACTCATTACTTTGATCACTTTTTCTCATTTAGTTTTACTTTTTTTTGAGTGTGATACAAACATGGAGAAGCAGAGAAGACAAAAATGATCCTCAGTGTCATTCTTGGATTAGGACACTGTGTTGGGAATACCTTGTTTTGGTTTACGCATTGGATGACAAACTTTGGCTCAGTGTGTGAGAGCTGTTTATTATGGCTACTTTTGTGAGGAATGGGTCTTGCTTTCTGTGCATCAGTGGCCAGAGGAGTCATCATTTCACTTGCCCTTTTTCAGAATTTGTGAGTGTTTGTAGGTCTTGTTTCACTAATGTGCTTTGGCATTAGCACATAGCCTGCAGCTACAGTATATGATAGCTGATGATATCTCCTGTGCTATGGAATTTAGACCCCACAGCTAATGCTTTCACTAGCCCACTTTTGAACAGATGGAATAGTTCTAGGTAGTCACAGAAAGTAATTTTGAGTAATCTCTCTTTTGCTCTGCTGTTTCTGTCATAAGTGGTTGGATGTGTGTTTTCTTGACTTCATGACATTGGCTGTATTTTGGGCCTCACCCTGCCCCAGAAGTGGCATGTATGGAATTATTAATGCTAAATATAGTGGCTTTAAATTATTCAGGCTTTATAGTGATACAGCAGAATTGAGATATTGGTGCACACTACATATTTGCATCTGTTTGAAATTTAATGCCTTTTCCACTTTAGAAATTCTGATCTAGTATCCAAAAGGCTGCACTGACTTTTGCAATGCTGTATGTGATTGCATTACTCAGGGATTCAGGGGTGCTGGCATAGAAGGCTTGTGTGCAGGCATCCACATAGCATTATCTCAGAGTTTCCTAACTTGTGACACTTCCACTCAGCAAGGCTGAAACAGGACTTCTGCTTTGTTTTGGTCATGTTCAGGGGTTGTAACATACAGCCAGTGGTGCCTTATGAACCCCTGGTTGAACATTTTCAAGGTGTAAGATTCTTGTCAGAAAGAAGCATGTTGGCCAATAATGGTGTGACTGTGAGTTTAGGGCAGGGTCTCTACAGATGGCCCAGGTATAAAAACCCACAGTATCATAAAATCATAGAATGGTTTGGGTTAGAGGGGTACCTTGAAGATATCTGGTTCCAGCCCCCTTGCTGTGGGCAGGGACACCAGGTTGCTCAAAGCCCCATCCAACCTGTTCTTGAAGACCTCCAGGGATGGGTCATCCCCCTGTTCCAGTGCCTCACAATCTTTCCCTAATACCTAAACCTACTCTCAGTTTGAAGCCATTCCCCCTTGTCTTTTCAGTGCATGCTCATGTAAATAGTCTTGCCCCATTTTACTTACTGTGGATATGAAGTCTGCAGTCTCTGCCTGACTCATCTGAACTCAAAGAATTCAAAGATTTTAAGTAAGAAATTGTTCAAGGACATGGCCTGTCATGGTGCCGTTGGCTGAGTAAAATTTGCCTTACGAAAGTATGTTTTCTGCATTTTCATGAGACAAACAAATAATATTTCATAGCTGGAACTTTTAGAAACTATAGCAGGTAGCAGTATCCAGATTTTGTCTAATAATGACTAACTGTAGTTTCTCTATTACCTTTCTATGCTTTGCTTGTGAGGTGGTGAAAGTTATGTCAACTGTGTTTTGAGCTCACCAAAAGCTTACTTGAGTGTCTAGGATTGTTCCAGCAGTTCTGCTTACTGATTTTATGACCTTTCTAAGACAGATTTCTTTTGAACACTGGTAAATTTGAAATTAGTGTGGTGTTTATTGTATAAGATGATCACTATTCTTGCTTACTTCTGAAGGTGGAGAGTGTTAGCATACTGCTATCCTTGAGGAAACATTTTTTAATCTCTTCATCTGATAAATTCTTGGAACGATTTCTTTGGATAAGTGACCTCATCACACTGCACAGTTTGTTACTTAGTAAATCCATAAGAACCTACACTCTAGTTGATGCAGGTAGCAGTACCAACTGAGCTTCATTTTACTTCTTCAGAAATGACAGCTGCTAAATTATTCAACTGTTGATGTCAGAGCTTCAGAATTTTCTTCTTATCAGTGTAGTCAGTAGCTTCCTAGGAAGGTGCAGCACTACATATTTCAGGGCTGCTGGGTGTTTTCCACTCCTTCCCTTCTGTCTTGATCCGGCACCTTTACAGCAAACCAGACGAGTCTTCTGGCTGACAGCATGTTGAAATTATTTCAGCGTTTCTGCTTCCAGACTTGTCTGTCTCCTCCTTAGTTATGTTGTAAACTGAACTCATTGATCTGGTGAGTTTGATCTTTCTTAGCTAGACTGTTTAGCACATTCAGATGCTAACAGTGATTTATTTGATCAGTTCGAACTGCCATTTCTCATCATCAAACAAGCCCTCACAAAGTAAAAGCTCTCCACCAAAGGCTCTGTGTTCCTGAGATCTTACTCTTTTAATTATTTCATAGTTTGAGCAACAAATTTTGAGAACATTTCTGGGTGCTTTTTTATGCATGCCATGTAGAGAATGGATCACTGTAACGACTATAACTGGTGACATCTGAGCTTCCTCAGTCAGTGATCAGGGCAGCAATTTGCAGCCTGAAGATGGGGTAACAATACTGTTGTGGTTTAACCTCAGCTGGCAGCTAAGCACCACACAGCCACTCACTCACTCCTCTAGCAGGGGATGGGGAAGAGAATCAAGAGTAAAAGTGAGAAAACCTGTGTTTTGAGGTAAGGACTGTTTCTTTCAAGGAAGTGTTGGTTGAAGCTCTAAGGTTTAGTAAGATGCCACTGTTTGAATCATAGATACTTTCAGGTCTTCTTGTGCTTAATGGTTCATAGTCCAACAAGGAGGCTTGCATAGATGGTTCTTTATCCCTAGAATCAATAACAGGGTGCAGAATTGATGGAGAAAAGCCTTTCTAGCAAGGGGAGTTTGAAAGTTAAAATGTCTGGATAGTGGAGACTGAGATACTGTTCTTTTGTGAGTTTCTCATTTGCCTTCCTTGATAGGAGTTGCGTACTTGGTGGTAGTAGTTTGACCTCAATGAAGAGACATCTCTTCAGAAGGAAAGCTTCCAATCCACCAGGCTAGAAAGCATATGGAAATCTTGAGGAAAAGCAAGAATTCAAATGGGACATTTTTTTGGGACTGTCTGTCTATATTCTAGGCTATTAGGAAACAGCAGAGCTTTTCTTTCTCCTTCATGATTGTATAGCCTGTTCTCTGGCCTGCTGTAAGGAGAACTGCAATAGCTGCTTTGCATAGTGATTATTAGGGGAAATACTTAAAGAGGCCCCAGTGCCCAGGCTCAGGTATCTGTGGTTTCTTGTGGCTCAGGGTAAGAGCCCTGGGGAGCAGACTTCTGGTGGCAGTGTCACCTTATAGATCTGCAGGTTGCCTGAGATAACTACTGAATCAGTTGCAGCCTGATCTGGGAGAGAAGAGTTCATTTCCCATTGAGAGGAATGGAAAGGCTCATTTATACCCCCAAGGTTTCAGTTATGAAAGAAGTTTCACAACAGGCTCTTGTGTGGAAGTAGCAGTACATTGAAAACTTTATATGGACTTTAATCAAAGATAATTGGTTAGTTGAAGAGTAGTGTTATTCTTAAAAAAAGGCAGCATTTAGTTTGTTTCTCATTTCCCTTACTCCACTTGCTTGTTCAAAAGAATATATATGTTTTTGCTCAGGCAGGTGTTGCAGTACAGGGATGCAACTAGGACTTCAAGGTTTGTTTCCTCCCCCCCAAATCCTCAAGCTTAATGTTGGAGTGCTGAAATGAGCTGTATCCACAAGTAGTTTTTCAGTCTAACTGAAAAAGTTCCACGGGCTCCTGCAAGCCAGGATACACTCTGATAATCTATGCCAACATACCAAGGAACAAATAACTGCTTTATGTCGAGTGCTTTTACAAGATTGTCATCTTTTCCTCTCTCAATTTTTACAGGAAAATCATCAGCGTGTTTGCATCTTCTTTGATTATGCAAAACGTGGTAAAAACACTGCGTGGTCCTATTTTCTGCCAATGTTGAATCGACAAGATCTCTTCACTGTGCATATGGTAAGTTTTAAATGAACCTATCTCTGAAGATGGTAGAGAAAAATGCTGGTTCTATTTTTCTTCAGAAGATTTTGGAATTTGAAACTAAACTACTGCCTGCACTGGAAAGTTTTCTTCTTGCAGTCCAGACGAGTCATTCTTAATACAAGCTTCACCTAACCACATTTTAAAAAGCAAGGTTGCATTGTTAATTTGCATTGGTTTATTTCTGGGAGATTAGGGCAGGTTTTAAAAATTCAGAAAAGCAGGGATTTTAGAACAATAACTACAGTAAAATGTACTTGAAAATCTTTTATTGTAATTGCCAGTCGATGCCATACAAATATTAGAATTCAAGTTCTCATCTTGTGCAAAGGAAATATCTTTACCTCAATGAACCTTATTTTCTCATATGCTCAGTTTATCAGCTGACTCACTAGAAGTGTAGAATGAAAAACAGAGAAATGCTTGATGTTGTTCAAGTTCTGCTCAGCAGCAGCTAAAACATTGATACATTACCACGCTGTTTTAGACACCAGTCTAAACCACAGCATCATATGGAGTGCTATGAAGAAAATTAAATCCATCCCAGCCAAACCCAGTACAGCCATGTGCAATGTATGGCTTTTGCTATGCTTTGACTACTGTTTGCTGCTCCTGTATATGGAGTAGCTTTTCTGGAATCTTAATATTCTCTTGTTGTCAGTGGTGAGAAGAGGCCATTTCATCTCAGCATTTATTTTTCTTGTGGGGCTAAAATGTGTTTGTGTTACTGTAAATTCCTAGAGGAGACCACAGTTTCCAACAGTGAAACTGATGTTATGGCTTGAGGAAGAGAAAACTGCACAGCTGTGAATTGTTCTACACTGCATATGTTTGTGCTGGGATGATATGGTGGAGTCAAACTAGATGTTATGGTGGTTTCAAACTAGAAACCAGTACCTGGCCTGCATGGGTCTGTGGGGGCAGAATTGCTGCAAAGATTCCAGGACACCGAGCAAGCTGTGCTGTTCGCCCTGGGGTGTGGCCAGTGCAGCTGTGTTTGAGGCTGTACTACAACTTGAACCGTGTGCTGGCATGCTGTCAAGAAAAATGCCAAGCTTGATTTAATTACTTATTTATTTAATCTAATTGGTCGACTGCATGGATGTGAATCAGTTTTCTTGGTGTAGCTGAGGGAGGAGGACGCTGGAGTTTCTTTTGGCCAACACAGTTTGTTTTGTGGTTTTTTTCGTGGTAGTGCTGCTGAAGACCCACCCTGCAAAACTGCAGTTTGAGTAGTCAGACAATGCTGACTTGCCCAAATATGCTGGTAAAACATAATTTTTAGACCCTTGCAGTGAAAACTATTTAGTCTCCCTCGAATGGTGGTTTTTAAACATATGGTGTAGAAATTTTGATGGTCAGCATTTCTCTACTCAGATTTTTATTATTCAGATATTGTTTTCTTTAAGTACTGCAAAAATACACAAATAATTTAGCAAGACACAGAGAATCTTATGTAAAATGAATCCACTTAAAGTGGATCTACTGAGTTTACTGCCATGTTATACCTTTTAGTACAGTGCATGTTCTCTTAAAGCATATATGTGTTTTCAAAAGCAAGTTTTAGGATTGTGTTATTTTTGTTTGGTTTATTTTTTTCCTTAATATGCACACTGGAAGATTTTTGATCCCATATAATTACATCTGCCAAAATACTCATCATCTGTGTAAACTCAAATTCTGCTAAGCTTAAATGGTCTCTCATTCAGGGCTAGGTAGCAGTTTTAACACAGAAGAATGATTGACTAGAGAGCTAATATCTTGTATTTTAAAGCTGGAGGGATTTTATAGGGTGACTTACTTGCATTCAGAAGGGGATTTGACACATTTTAGTGTAGCGATTGTTGTTCCAGCCTCACACTTATAATCTCTCTATAAATCAGTGATGGTGGTGCTGCACATGTGAATGCAGTAAGGTGGAAGGGTGGTTGGAATAATGTCCTCACTGCATCATGGAACTGTGTGCTTGCAAATGAACCCCTGCTTCAGTAATTTCTTGGTTACACTGCCTCTTTATATGTAAGCTGGCTCAAATGCTTTTGCAGATTAACTGCAGGCTGCAACATAGATTTACTTCAAATATAATTTGGAAAGGCTGATGTAGAAATATACTCTTGTTTAAGTATTCTTAAAGCCAAAAGCATCATGAAAATTCTTAACCTGACCACGTTTTTACTTCTCAACTTCATTCTTAAATTGTACTTTCCGTTTTACTTTTCTGCCCTTCTTCTGGGCTTGAAACTTCTCCCTTCTTGAAGATGACTTCCTTCAGTTTAAGTACAAGAACCCTTCAGTACTGTTACCATTTGTATTGGCATGTGCCATAGTTGCTTAAATCAAGTCTGCATGCATTAGGCCATCAAGTGTCTTGCTTTTCATTGATTTCTGACTGTAGTGGTGTCCTACAGCAGGAGTCCATCGGCAGCTTCCCTCCATCTCTTTTTGCGTTCTTTATTGGTGCCTTGTGAACTTCAACAGCTACAGGTAACTGATAACAGGCACAAAGAGTCCCCTACATAGAAAGTAGGTAGATTTCTGTAAGGGACTATCTTTTATCTAAAATTGATTTCCATAGTTTACAGAACTTCTCACTGAATTCTGAAATTGCTGTGTTTGCAAGATCAATTTATTGCATTCTTTTTCAGGCAGCAAGAATTATTGCCAAACTGGCTGCTTGGGGGAGGGAGCTTATGGAAGGCAGTGACTTGAATTACTATTTCAACTGGATTAAAACTCAGCTTAGTTCACAGGTAAAGAGCTGCTTTTTTTTAAACTTTACAGTAACTTTGGAAACTCTTTTCAAGAATATGAATGTATAAATGTGCAAAGGGTATGTTTTTGTATTTTTAAAATAAAATTTTGCTTTGTAATTTTTGAAGCTAAATAGTCTTTATTCAAGCACTTAGTTTTTTACTTAGTATTTTAAGTGTTTTACTTCAGTCCTTGAAATGTAAATTAATGATAAAGCTTTTTGACTTTTCTGTTGGTTAACACTGTTTTTTTCTTTTGGACACTGATAAAATATGAGATGAGAGTGTTTTTGTCTTGCCTCTACTATTTTGGTTATCAGAGCTTTTTGCTGGGAAGAAAAGTCGCATGGCAGCAGAAACTGAATATCAAAACCTATTTCCAGTTTACTGTAGTACAAAGCGTTTACTTTTATTCCTGTGTCTTGAAACTGAATACATTTTGACTTATTTGGACAGTGTTTTTATGGTATTAGCTCAGTTTGAACCACTAATTTCTGGCTTGTCCTTCAAAGATGAATCATTCTCCTTTGTATTAATTTCTGGACTTTTTTTTTTTTCAAAACACAATGATTTTTCTCTCGTTCTCTTAATGTAGTAGAACTGGATTCTGGAGAGTTGAGAAACATTCAGTAGATTTATTAATGATAAATTTTTCATATTTTTCTAAACCGGGCTTATTAAAAAGGAGTTTTAATTTTTTCCTCTGGAAGGAGAATCTTAAAGCTGGAATTTCTTTCAGAAGGATGCAAGAGTACAGTTTGCAAATTCTAAGATAAATAGATAACTTGAATAAATCCACACTTAAATAATTAAAAATGTTGGTGTACCAGATCAGTTTCAGACACGTTCTTCTAGACATGAAGTGTGTGTAGAAAATAAATACAATATATTATGGTAATATATTAAGCAAGAAAAAAAATCTAATAGATTCTAATTTTTTTAAAAATAACTAGAAAGGGTGGAGAACTGAAAGAAACTCGGTAACAACTGTTCCTTAAGGGTGAATAACAACTCTGATTTTAAACTTTTATTTCTTCTTTTCCTAGAAATTACGCGGTACAGGGGGTTCTGTGGATACAGGAGCAGTCTCCACAAGTGATGTGAGTATATCTTTGAAATCTGTCATTCTGCTGTTTTGGGCAGGTGATGATCACTCTTCGGATTAAGGTGCAGATCTCTTCTGCTGCCAGTGATAAGAAGCACTTGGAATCAGAACTGTACAACAGAGTGCCAGGTGATGGCGCCAAGAAACAAAAGTATTTTTAAACACTGATTTCACATAGAATATTGGCAGTGGAAGTGTATATTTTATAAGTTAGTTTGTCTTGCTAAAGCTATAGATGTATCTAGGATTATCTTTGTTAAAACTTGAAAAAATTTTATAAAGTTAATGTAATATTCAAACAATTTTAATTCCCTGACTTGGTGATCTTAGAGGTCTTTTCCAGCCCAAACGATTCTGTGATTCAGTACTGTCTGTTTACCACTGAGCTGTTGAACTTGTAGAAGAAACCTGAAACTGAGAAGCTTTTGTCTGTTGTGCTGTGCAGAACGTAGAAAAGGGCACATCAGATATTAAAGCTGATATTGTCCATAAACCATTGTAGCATGAAATTGCAAGAGTACTTTCAAAGCTGTAAGCTTTTCATATTTGAATAACTTGAATTCAGAGGAAAATAGATTGTCCTTTTTGTATCAATATTTTAAATACTGAATTTCATGTAGCTATAATAGCTGCTGTGCTTGGAGGTGAACTGTGGCAGTATAACAAATGCAAATGATTTTCCTAACTGGATTTTCTGTGGTGGTGTGGCATGAGGCAATTTATCATAATTCTTGAATGTGGAGTGGAATTCAGTTTGGTCTTTTGTTCCTTTTGCAGACTGAAAGTGGTCACAGTTTCTCAGAAGACTTAACTTGGGATTTGGTATTCTTTGCAGTGTAGTCATGACTTTGAAGTGTGAGCTTCCTGTAGAGGAGAAGCCTCTTAAATTACCCCCTGTCTGGGGTTTAAAGTAGAAAAGATGCAAGACTGTTATGCAAGACTATGGGTAGGGCATGAACAGTGGCCTTTCAATATAAATCAAAGTATTTCAGTATTTCACGTGCAGATCTGTGTTCCATAGTGTTAGGTTTTGCTAGACTGACAGCTCTCTGTCATACAGCCATAGAAGAGTAAATAGTTCTACAGCACACACCACCACTTATTATGGAGCCATGAGCTTCTCTGATTTGCTCAGAAGTCAGTATTTATTGCACTGTGGTACTGCATGGATGTACTGTGCCATGGTAGGGTCCCAGAGCAGCAGAGTGCAAATATGTTTTAGCATAATTAAAGTGGGTAAGTACTGTCTTAACTTCGTTAGTGTTTGGATTTCAGATCTAGCTTATCCAGGATTTTCAAGTAGGTCTTGTCTTATTTCAGAATAAATTAGAAATGCAGTTGTAGCATTTTATACAGGAAATGAGAGCTGGACTCTATTACGAAATTTCAATTATAATGATGTTGGAAGACAGTGTTTTTATGACAGACTCTTTAAAAACAAAGTCTAAGTTCAGTGGGTTGCATTATTTGGAGTGGGAGAGCTGTCTGTGTGTTTACAGCTGTTTTATTTGCATGGGGTGTGAAAATTGGTACTTTCACTGGGAGATTAATGTTCTAGATGATTTGAGCCCAGATGCACAGACTTAGTTTTTACATAAAGGACTTAAATCTCTCATGAGAGACACAGAATGAGTTACTCTTTATTTTCAATTCTGTTTATTGCCTCCTTTCTTTTCATATGGGATTGCCTAACTTCTTTACTTCATTAAGTGTTTGAAAGGTTTGAGCTTGTATTATGTGAGTGAGCTGCCATGAGACTTTCAAGGATAAGGCTTATAGGGAGGGAAAAAAGCAAACAACATTTTATCAGCAGTGTATCTGATTAATGTATGATTAGCATTAGTGAAGGTAATGCTGACAATTGAGTAAGAAGAGAGAAAAACATGCTCTGGCAAATTTATTCAAACAGAAGTCAGCTTTCATTCATAGATACTGAAGGAAGGCATGTTCAAATGTTCTGATAATGTAAAGTGGTATCTCTTGCATAACACTTCTTTAATATTCAGAGCTCTCTCCTTTTATACCACTAAAGCCTAATTAGGGAAACTGTACTTCAGCACTTACTACCTGACTCTTCTGGTAAGAAGTGATGCGTTTTTCTTTTCACCCAGAGTTCCCAGTATGTACAATGTGTTGCTGGATGTCTGCAGCTGATGCTCAGGGTCAATGAATACCGCTTTGCTTGGGTAGAAGCAGATGGAGTAAATTGGTGAGCACCTATTTCAATTTATATGGATATACATGCACTTACAGTAGTGCATTCCCCAGTCGCCTTTTTTTGGAATAGAAGTCTCTTGTAATGGACAGCTGTTCTGTTTGTGTACAAAAGAGATTTGTTTTCAAACATTAACAGAGTCAAATAGACAAATGAAACTTACACTATTGAGGCTTTAATGCAACTTTACTGTTCAAGAAGAGCTGCTTAAGTATGTATCTGAACAGGAATATAACCGTTTGTCTTCAGCTGAAGATGTTCTGTTTATTTTTTAATAGAACAAGGACTAATGAAGTGAGTTTCTGCTAATCATCCTAGTCTTTGAGTTTGGAATTGTTCTATCTGAAAATACTAGTGAAAGGAGAAATACTTTCTAGAGCTAAGACCAATTTTTTTCCACATATGGCTTCAAGTACGTCATTCTTTTATCCAATTCTCTTAATAAATAACTTTCCATTAGGCTAGAATTTCAGCACTAATCTTATTTAAAAAATACTTGCCTATAAAGAATTTTTCTGTCATCTATGCCTCTACTGGGGATGGTTGGAACATAATTTGCACTTTACTGAAAAATACTGCTTAGCACTGAAATGGAGAAAAGTCAAAATTCCTAGTGAAATGTTCTTCAAGTGATGTTCCTATGTGTCAGGATGACACTGCTGGAACCAAGGAAGCTTTTTAATCAAGTATTAAAGTATTACAGTAAGCTTCTGTTTCACCATGTTTGAACTTGTCTTAAATTTGATAAGAATGATTTTGAATGTAGATTCTTTTTTAAATTTTAAATTGAGCTACCTATTTCAAAATTTACTTGTAAATTGCTTATTAAATTTTCAAAACTTAGCTGAGCAAACCTTCTGCATGAGGTCTTGAAGATCTTGTGATAGTATCTTTTTCTGGCAGTACTTTGAATATTTGTATCTGTTAGCCATTTTCTGAGAATTTGCTGTTAAATAATGAATACTTCAGCTCTTTTCAGGCACTCCTATGGACAAGTACAATTAAGGAACATAGTTCAATTTGTGTAGATTTTGCTTTGTTTATTTCTTAAGTCTGAAGGAGTAGCTGAGATTTCTGTTTCTCCCAGAATGACAAATAATGCTTTGAACATACCAGTAGTAAAACTGTCTTGATAACCCAGAAGATGGATACAGTACCACATCAGTTCAAATGGGAAAAGCTGCTTTATGGCTCTAAGGCTGAGAAAATAACCATCTCTTTAAAAGATGGCTTTTTGAACAATCTGCTAATACAATGATAAGTAGTGATGCAGGTTACTGTGGAGTGTGTGTTGTATGCTTATCCTCAGCAGCTCTTTCCAATAAGTTGTTACCATTTCTTTTAATGTTTCAGATTGGAACAATGCAACCTACGTAGTCATTATTTAAAATTAAATGTGTCCTATGTCAATTTTTTAGCATCATGGGTGTGTTGAGCAACAAATGCGGTTTTCAGCTCCAGTATCAGATGATTTTCTGCGTGTGGCTGCTGGCGTTTAGCCCTCAAATGTGTGAATATCTCCGTCGGTACAATATTGTCCCTGTGCTGTCAGATATTCTTCAGGAATCTGTCAAAGAGAAAGTAACCAGAATCATCCTTGCAGCATTTCGGGTAAGTATCTGTTGACTGCAGCCCTGCTGTGTTTCTCTCACAAATATCTAGGTCTCAAATGTTGCTGATGCACAGCTATTTCTGCTGGACCATATCAATAAGCTGATTGAAAGCTTAATTCTCTGGTGGGTTGTTGTTGTTGATTTTTTTTTTTTTTTGTAAGCTTGAGTTTTTGCTACAGGTAATATACAGGCTATTACCAGTAATAGATATCTGCTATTCAATGTCTTCTTAAAATCAGATTGATGAAAAAGCCCAGTGTTAACACAGGCACTAGTGATTTCTTTTTAATTTAAGATTCTTTTTCCTACTGGTACTACTGTAAAACCCTGGAGTTAATAATAGCTGATAAATTTTACCTTATGAAGCTTTAATTAACTAAATATTATTTTTGAATACATATGTCTGTCCAACTGAGAAATTATTTACTAGTCCAAAAATCTTTTATTGGTGGCTCTGTAAAGGCAGACGAGAATACCCAGGCTTATAAGAGTGATTAGTTGAATTACTGTGTCTGCATTACCTGAAAATTCCTGGTCCTGTTTAAGATAATTAGGAAGAACTGAGTACCTAGGCTTGATTTTTCACTTTGAGAGTACCATTTTATGTTCATGGATGCTAGTAGTTTTATGTGCATGCTTGCCAAGTATCTTGTGTGTAATACAGGAAAGCTGTAAAAACTTGTAATGCTGTTTTCAAGCAGCACTTGGTATCCTGATTAGGAAATGGAGTAGGTCTTGGAAGCTATTTAGTTTTCTTGGATGTAGGTAGTGTTCCAAGTAAGTGTTGCAAGCATATGAGAATGGGGAGAGGGAAATTGTTTAGTGACTTGCTGATCAGCAATGATAAGCTGTGTGGAGGTGCTTGCTCTGTCTCTTTATCTGAAAACATCTGCCACTGAAAGATTTCTGGATAAGGCAGATCTGCTGTTGGTCTTGTTGAAGGAGTGCAGTGGTATGAGGTGTTTAGTAGGAGCTATTCTTAGTATATATTCTTACTATTCTTGCTCTGTAGATGTTGTAGTGTTCTTAAAGATCTTAATGTTGGGATTAAACGGGAACATATAGCAAGACAGATTGGAAAAAATTTAAAAGAGAAAAAGAAGCTTAGAAGCTTAGCAGTTTATATCCAGTTTCTTCCTATTCTGAGGTGATAAAAAATAGGAGAAATAATTGCTAGTTCTTAGATTTACTGTGTTTTGCAAGAGGAGACAAAAATGAAGCAATTTTTTTAAAAATAAAGGCTAGGAAAGAATGAGTTGTTTCTGTTACAGGCTTGGGGGAATGTAACTTAGCTGTTTCCTTTCCCAACATTAAAGGCTCATGTTGGTGCGAAGATGAGTTTTTAACTGGTAGCCAGGAACATAATAGATTAGACATTAGACATCATCCATTCTATATAGTCATATGTTTGTGTTTTTACTTTGTTAACATATCCTTTCAAATTCACTATGAAAAACTTGGGTATCTCACTATGGTATGAGGTAGGTAATAATATTTGGAATAGCTTCCACACCTGCTTGCAGTTATCTTAACTAGGAGTTCTTTGGAACCTTTATCCACCTGCTCCTTGAACCTTTTGAGTTGTCTTATTTAAGATTAATTAATTTTTCATTTGCTCTCATTAGCAGTTTTAAGTCTAAGGAAATTAGCATTACGTTCTGTGAATTACCTTTTAGTTCTCTTACTGAAGTAGAAACTGGGGTGGCTTTTTTTTGCACATTAAAGCTAATTGTATATGGCCATTAAAAGCAGTAATATGACATACTTAGTTTGCAAGTTTTGAAATTGATTTGCAGTGTTCTGCCTCAGTAACTAATAGGATGTCTGATATCAAAGAAACAAGTGTAATAGTTCTGTGACAAGAGCAGTGCAGTCAAATTCCTTCTATATGGTTTCACTGCTTATTTCTGGCAGATGTTAAATCTTGTTTATATGAACACATGTTCTGTTTATTAAGGACTTCGTCTTTTATATGAAATTCACGTTTTCCGCTTTATCAAAAAGTGCAGGTGACCAACTTAGATTGAAAAATATAATTAAAAGCTGATTAAATTGAGTAGAAATGTAATGAATAAATGACATTGGAACTTGACTACTGCATTCTGTGTTTATAATTCCAATCTTACCAACAAGCTTCTGTTTAAATAAAAATATCTGGTTGGAATATTCTCAAACTTGAAAAGAGCTGATCTAATCCAGATGGTAACTTTGTATTGGAAATAAGACTTCAGGTTTTGTTTCTTTTTAAGGCTCTCTGCTTTATGCTATTGCTGCACAGAAAGCTAAAATGATAATCCAAGATAAAAGTGGTTTTTTCATGGTGGAGGTTCTAGTATTTGGGATATAAACCTGCCCTTTTTCTTTGAAAAGTCTTTGTAGTCACCTCAGTTTCATGTGGAAAATATTCAGAACAAGTGAATTAGTAGTTTCTATTATTGAAGAAAGATTATTTCAGGAAGTGGTCAATGTTGTTACTTACTAAATTAAAAAGTTCCAGTAAGAATTTCTTTAAAACGGTTTTGTTTCAAACTAGTCTGTTTTTAAACAAAATAAATACATCTTTACTTCCCTAGAATTTGTTAGAGAAATCTACTGAGAGAGAAACTCGCCAAGAATATGCTCTTGCCATGATTCAGTGTAAGGTTTTAAAGCAGCTAGAGAATTTGGATCAGCAGAAATATGATGATGAAGACATCAGTGAAGATATCAAATTTCTACTGGACAAGCTTGGAGAGAGCGTGCAGGACCTTAGGTATGCTTTGCAGTGTGTACTTTAAAAAATGCAGTTATGTGAATGTTGGTAGAACCTTTTTCTTTTGTAAGGCTAAAATATCTACTGAATTAGGATATGTAAATGCTATTTAGTAAGATAGAGCATACAGAGATATGCTGGTTGTTCATTTCCTATTGTATGTCAGTATTTAGAGGCTGAATAGAAAATAAATCTTCACTTACAGAGGTGATCTTTGTAACTGAAAAATTGTTAAAGGACTCAAAAGTGATCTTAAAGGATCTCCAGCCAGTCAAAACTGAGGTCTGCCTGATTAGAATAAGTTCCACTGTCCAGGCTAACTCAAGTTTTTGCTAGTGTTTACCTAGTTCTTGGTCTTGTGCCTAAACTGAAGTGCATATTGTAGGTAGTGTCAAAGGTTTAAGTGGATGGAAGGAAAAGACTGAAATCCTTGATTGGGGAAGCTAAAACATAAACACCCAGCAAAACAGAATTAAATTCCAAAGTGTCGCATTTGTGTGGCTTGGTGTTTTTTGTTTTTGGTTTTTGTTGTTGTTGTTGTTTCTTTTCTGTTTCGTTTTTAATTTATTTCCTGGGAATAGTGTTTTGGGGTAGATGGAGGTTGTGTTTGAAAATAATTTTTCTTCTTGCCTCTTATGTATTTTCTTACTTACAAAATTATGAGAGAGGTAACAATTCTCATACTCTCCAGAGCACTGATTTCCAAATGTGTCATAGCAATTTGAGCTCCAGCTTTGTTAGGGACAGGCTCGGGTGAATGGTTCAAAGTGTTTGTAGAAGCTTGGCCAATATCTCATTTCAGTCTTGTGTTGCAGCTCCTTTGATGAGTATAGCTCTGAGCTCAAATCAGGAAGACTGGAATGGAGTCCTGTGCACAAATCTGAGAAGTTTTGGCGGGAGAATGCTGTAAGACTAAATGAGAAGAATTATGAACTACTCAAGTAAGTTTTCAAGTCTTGAATCATGTGATCCTTTAATATTTTCTGTATTTAAATGAACCTGAATCTAATATAGGTTTTACATTTTAATGTAAAGTAGTGTCAAGAACGAAAGCAAGTTGAAACATCCTGCTTATTTTAGAATGTACAGTTTGTTCTGTTCAAACCCAGAATTGTTTATATGCTTTTACCACTCAAAATGTATTTATGATAGAGGGAATATCTTTAGCTTAACTTGCATGCAGGTTTGATTTAATTAAAATTGTTTTTACTGTATCTTAATCTTAGTTTTGTACTGTGTGGTGATGTTGATCTGGGTAATGAACTCCTATCTTGGATATTTGAGAGTTGAAAGTTGTGGTACTGTTCCATGAAAAATTTGACTCGATGCGTTATGCTGCAATATTTTGTGTTGGGACTGTGTTTGGAGTATGTAGATTGTAAGATGACATGCACCTGAACTGATATTTATTTGCAATCAAACACTGGCTGTCTGGCATATGAAACTGTGTCCTGAAATGATGCCTGGCTCTCAGTTATTCCATGTTCATTGTCATTAACTGATAATCCATGGTGATGTTTCAGTTCAGGACTTGCTAATAAGGGCTATATCTAACAGAAATCAGGAGGTCAAATGGAGCTTGTGAGGTGTTAGAAGACATGGCAAGAGTAAGGTGATCCTGAGCTTTATGTGCATTTTGACTGGCCTGACACCTCACCAAAACTATCTGATAAATTATTCCTTGAGTTCAGCATATTGCTGAATATGTAGGATTATAGACTTTAAAATTATAGATGCTGACAGCTGTGGCATGAAGTTGATGTTGAAGCTTAATATTTCCTGTAGTGATTACAGTGTTTTGCTGTATTTATTTCTCCTGGTTCTGAGACTTAATTTCTTGTGCTTGTGCTGCTACAAAGGTAGTGATCTTCAGTCGTTCCTTTAACACACCCCCAACTTTCAAAAAAACCCCACAAAACTCAATGCCACAACACCAAACCAAACAAACCAATCCTCAAAAAACCCACCCACCCTCTACCACAACATAATGGGAATATTCTTGCACCTCAGAACTTCATTTTTTGCCTAGTAAGGCATTTGACAGACAATCCTTATTTGCTTTGACCCATATAATTTTATTTTTCCTTGTCTGCCTGCTTATTAGTTTTCTAAATGTAATACTCTTATGCTACTGTTAAGCATAATTGTTTTCATACTTTCTGCCATTACTGCCTCCTTTGATATTGGACTTGTATTTTGTTCAACATCATTATATTGATCTTTGGTGTCTTCTCCTTAGTGTTACCGTTCAAGTTTCTGCTTCCTCTTCTTGTCAAAAGTAGGAGTTCTTTTCATTTGAGAAGTGCTTTTTCTGTCACTTTCTGGCCTCTAGGGAGGCAATGGCTGTGATAATTTAATTTTACCAGAATGTTCCTTTTTTAAACTCCAGTTGAATTGTTAACCTACCTATTTCAGCTTGTTTCTAATTCTCTCTGTCTGGAATACATTTGTCATTTCACTAAGCATAGAATACTTTAATTTTCCAGTGATCTGTGTGTTTAACCTTTTCAACTGTGCCTAACCTTCATAATCTGTGTCATTGCCCCCCCCTTCTCATTACTAGGTAGAGAACAGTGTTACTTGTAACTGTTTTCCACTAAGGATGGTTTAACAATTTAATTAAAAAATGCAGACAGTATTTCTGTGCATGTGTTTCTGTGCATTCTAAGAAAATAACACGTGGTGCTGAAGTAATTCATAAGGTAGTATAGCTTTCATCTCAGTCTTTGAGTTAGGACAGAACTGCTTTTTAATGAAGCTTATCTAGAACTCAGAACTGTTGGTCTTGAAGCCAAAGTATAAAAAAAGGAGAGATTTTGTAATCCTTGGTTATAGGTATTTATGTATATAGCTCACTAAACAGACTCTAGTGAATACTTTAAATAATTCTCTTATTTAGGGCAGGTTCTCAGTTTTGTTAAGTACAGCTGCATGTTTGGAAAAAGTTCTAACTTTACTGCTTGGGTGACTTGTAAAACATTTGTATGCTTATGGGCTTTGTTATTTTAAGTTATCACTGATTTAAAAACCCTCAACAAATAAGAAAACCAAAACAAAAAAATAAAAACTAACCCAAAACCTGGGACTTCCTTGTTTCAAATTCTTTCCTAGAATCCTGACAAAACTTCTGGAGGTTTCTGATGATCCACAGGTGCTGGCTGTAGCTGCTCATGACGTGGGAGAATATGTACGGCACTATCCCCGTGGGAAACGGTAGGAAAATGCCAATGTGTTGTTATCCTAGAGAGTAGCTGGAGTATCTACCGTGCCTGTAGCATTTTCTGCTTATTTATATTAAAATATACTATAAAGGGGTTGCAGGATATGCTTAGGTTTTATTCATTGGGAAGATAACAAAACACAAACTAGATCAGATGAGAAACTGCCAACTGGATCTTTGACTTAATATATTTCAATGTCTCTTAACTATGAAGGGAACCAATGTTTAAAGTAAGTATTGAATACAATGTTTAGACTAAAGCAGAAGCCAGGCACCAGAAGAAATTGGAAGAGCTACCAAGAGTTTAATCAAGGTATAATTTTTCCTCTCTCTTATGACTATTGGACTGTAATTATTGGACTTAGGGTAGACATGGACTATTTCAACAATGATAAAGACTGCTCTGTGACTTAAGATTACAGAGAAGTTTTTTTCCACAAACAATTGCTTTTGTAATTTCAGTGATGCACAGATTCAGTTGTCACTCTTCAATTTAAGCATGTTTTAGCTACACAAATACACATTTTGGTTAAAGCTTTCATGTTCATGATAAAAAGATGTTTACTGAGTAATTGCACCTCTAAGGTAGAGAACACTGAAGGAGAAAGAAGCCTTTGGTTTTTGCAGGAATCTGGATCATCTCACTGAGGGACATGTGACAATTTTTGTAGCAAAGAAGCAGTCTGTTCCTGGCTTCTGCACAGGGTGTCATAGGTTAACTCCAGCTGGCAACTCAGGGTCCATGCAGTCACTTTCTCTCCCCGCTCAGCAGGATGGGGGAGAGAAACAAAAGTAAAAGTGAGAAAATTTCCTAGGTTGAGATAAAGACAATCTAATAGGTAAAGCAAAATAAGGAATTAATTCATTGCTTCCCATGGGCAGGCAAGTGTTCAGCCATCCCAGGGAAAGCAGGTCTTCATCATGCATAATGGGTACTTGGAAAGACAAACACCATCACTTGGAATGGTTCCCTCTTCCTCCTCCCAGTTTTATGTGCTGAGCTTGCTGGCATATGTTGTAGAATATCCCTTTGGTCAGTTGGGGTCAACTGCCATGGCTGTATCCTGTCCCAAATCCTTGTGCAGTGCCAGCCCCCTTGCTGGTGGGATGAGGAGCAGAGAAGGCCTTGATGCAGTGCAAATGCTGCTCAGCAATAATGAAATCAACACTGGTTTTAGTACAAAGAGGAAAAGTATCTCAGCTAAAATCAGCTCAATAGATAACAACGGCCTTCTAGCCTTGTTGAGTTTCACGAACTCTTCTTGTGCAGACGGTTTTCTTGACAGTAGTAGAATCATGGACAACAGTCTGAAACTTCAGGCCATATGTATGCTAGGAAGATGTGTTGACTCCAGAAATACTCACAGCCCTTGTAGTCTTGTAAGAACTGAAATAGTATTTGCAGGAGAGGCAAGATGTCCTTCAGTAAGGTGGAAACTAATAGTGCTGCCTGCAAGTGACAAAGCTGGAGGACTGGCTAATACTGGTTGTTCTTGCTTTGAGCAGCTCTTTGTATGAAATAATTTTATTACATATTTGCCAGAATCTTTAAACAGCTTGCATGCATTTACCTGAACGTGTGGGCCAGTATGGCCATATAGTTGCTGGACCAAAGCTATGAAATCAGAAGAGTGGATAAACGGGACCTGTATCCTTCTGTCTGTAGTTGGGAAAATGTATAGCTGTAAGGACTACAGCTCCACTTAGCTCCCAGGCTGTTAAGCTTATTCAGCAATATGCCTGCCTTCAAAGGGAGTGGTCATCAGCAAATAAAAAATGTCCTAGATACTGTTCTGACCCACATTCTTATCTCAAATTCTAATACTTTAGCTGCTTTCTGTTTGCAGACTTGTCTTATTTAGCTTTCTGTTCCATTGAACAAAATGAAATACCTCAATCTCTTTTAAAGAATTTAATTTCTAATCTATTGTATTCTTACCAAATATGACTTAAGCAATTTTGAAACTAACTAAAAGCTTAAAATATCGATGGGTTATGTGTCCATTCCAGCATAATAGTCCATTTCTTATGTTTTTTTGATATATAGTTGTGTACTGCTCCCACATGTGATTGGTATTTCACACTCTCATTGCATGACTCACTTTAAGAATGGATGCAGTTCCTTGGTTTAGAAGAGTAGAAGAATTCAGGCATCTTGAATACTTTTGTTTCTGTTAAGTGTTTATTGTCAACTCTTAACTGGATCATCCTTTAGCCTTTGAAGGCTGCAGAGATGAATTCGATACTAAAACTACTTGACTTCACCTGCTACACACAGTGGAGACCTAGAGCTTCAGTTCTGGCCAGCCTTTCCCTTTGTCTGACAAAAGAAATGTTTGTTAACAAAATACTGTGGTTTTGCTTGGCTGTTCTCCAGTGCTTAAATAATTTTAAGTTGCTTTTAAAATTACACATTGTAGATCAAGTTGTTGAGATAATAGCACTGTGGGCTTCTCATGAGGCTCACCAAGATGCATATTCTGAGAGTAGAACAGCAGAAATAAAGTATAGCACTGGTGCTTCCTGTCACTAAAAATAAATACAGGCCTTCAGCAGAGCTTCCATGTGGCCCAAGGGTTATTGTTAGGTACGATCAACACTTAGAATTTCTGGAATGCTGTGAACGTGGGCTTTGTGTTTTACATGTATAAGAGATAGACAACTAGAGCCATTCTCTTCCTTAGCTCAGGATTCAGAAAAAAGCTTGCATTCCCTTTTTCACCTTTTTCAGATAAGTAGTGTAGATTTTATATTTGTTTTCTGCTATAACAGTCTAAATTGTATTCGTCTTTATCTTCTGTGTCTTCTTTCTCTCTAAATGGGTCATGTCAAAACCTGAAACTTCAGCGTCCAGAAGCCTTTTTGAAATGCCACTATTTTGGCTTAGTGCCAGTGATGTTATAGGGAGCAGTCACTGCAGAAGATGTGCACATATAACTGTTCTACTGGGCTCTATTACTTCTGTAAAGCAAACAGCAGTTGAGGAGAGAGGAAACTAAATGTAGTGTGGACACATTTGGAACTTGAAGGAACACGATTCATTGTGAACCTTCTTTACTGTTTAGACCTTTAGGTTAAAAACCCATGGCTGGGAAGTGATTTGTACCTGTAGGCAGCATTATGCAAGAATGATAATGCTGTTCTTCAACTCTTCATGTTTTCAACAATAATTTCAGTGATGTATTGTCATCTGAAAGAGCCTATTACCATTTGTGATTATAGGCTTTTAACCTTTCATTTTGGTTCTTGCAGTCTTCTGGCATAAGGAAGCTTTTGAGTTTAATGCCTTTTTCACATCCTTTCCGTTCCTGAAAATCCAGTGGTTTAAGTCAGTCCTTTAATAAAAAAAAATATATATTATTTGTGTTTCATATTCTTGCCTTTGTGTGCAGTGATTTTATATTTAACTCATTAAAAAGGTGAGGCAGCATAAGGGAGGCATAAAGTTACATTGCTTATAACTTCTCGGATTCTTGGCAAGGATTTTCCAGCTTGAAACAGTTGCAGTTTTCTGAATCTATTCCTGCTTTATGAAGCAAATGTTTTAATATTCTTGGGAAATAATATTCTCTGTGGTCTTAAGGGTGGTTTTGACTGAGTTATAAAATGAAATGGAAAATTCTCCTTTTCATCTCCGTGCTGTCTTCATACCTGTTCTGTAGTTTGCAAAAATATGTTGTGTTGTGCAGCAGCAATGCATTAATCTGGCCACGAAAAGAGCAGTACTACAATGCAGATAGCTAATGCAAGCTTAGAATGGCAGTGCAACATCAGGTTAAGACTAAAGCAAATGATAGTGTCTTCACAGAATAGCATGTTTAACTACTAAGTGACCTGTGAGACAACTGATGTAAAAAAACATATGAAAGTCAGTGAGTAAATCAGCTTATATATTCCTTACAAATTCTCTCCAAACTTATTGTTATGACAGGCTGAAATGCTGCATGTCAAGTCATCTGGATGGTGATACTTTCTCTAAGTGTATTGCCTTCCACTTTTTTTTATTAAGAAATAATATATTCATGACCTGCCATACAAGGTTTCATCAGTATTTCGTAGGGGATTTGGTATAGCTGTTAAAAAGTTGTGGCTGACTATGGTGGTGAAGTTTGTAGCGAAAGATGCAGCTAAACCATATCCTTTTTCTGGGAATGGTACCTTAACAGCCAGTTCTGCATCTTGTGCAGAAGTAGCTGTGGCTCTAGTACAGTTTGAATGTCAAAAAGAGCACTATATGTATTTGTGATTATATGTAATTGTGATATGTATGGTGATTTAATAGGTGTTGGTGTGATTAAAAGCATTCTTCTGTATTAGACAATGCCAGAAGAGATTGAGGTTGTATTCTTGCAAATAATGGAGTGACCTGGTTGACATCCATTTATGGGGTGGAGGGCACTACCTCTCCTACCTAGTAACTGATTATGCTGTACCCTGTGTACCATTTTAGAGACCTGTGTAAAGTAAATAACCTGTCTGAAAAGGGTTATTTTTTTATTATTTATTTCAAAGTAGCAAACAGGAATCCAGTATAAACACTTTCTGATGTTGAGAATTCTTTAAAAATCTTCTTTTAAAAAAATCAGTAGTTATTACAGGAGATCTGTACTTGTAACACATCAGGTGAGATGTGTATCTTGGCAAATAAATAATTTTAATAAAATAAATATTATATAATTTAAACTTAACCCTTTAATGCATTGAATGTGAAGTGGTTGGATAGGATAGCTACCCAGAATTGAAAGTAATGTCAAAAAACTTTCTCCTCTCCTCTTTTTCAGGGTGATTGAACAGCTTGGTGGTAAGCAGCTGGTCATGAACCACATGCATCACGAAGACCAGCAAGTTCGTTATAATGCACTACTGGCTGTGCAGAAGCTGATGGTTCATAATTGGTATGTGAAGGTTATATAACATACTACTAACCATGAGAAATCTTTGTTGTGGAGAGAGGAGTCAAGACAATAGATTTATTTTAGGGAATAAATATCATTTTTTTGTGTTAAGACAGCAGTTTTTAAACAGCAGATTAATATGATGTTTATGGTAAGAACTTAGTTTTTCTGTGTATTTTGGAAGCAGTTGAATTGAGTAGCTTCTTTACATGGTTGAATGCCACGCAAGTAATTCACTTGAACAATATATTTTAGCTTAGTATTAAAAATTACTGGTAAAAATGTATTTTTATTAGGAAAAGGTTCTTCACCAGAGGATGATTGGGCACTGGAACAGGCTCCCAAGGGAAGTGGTCACAGAACTAGCCTGACAGAGCAGCCTGAGAGCATTGGACAATGCTCTCAGGCACATGGTGTGACTCTTGGGCTGGCCCTGTGCAGGACCAGGAGCTGGACTTGGTGGTTCTTGTGATTCCTTTCCAACTCAGGATATTCTGTAATGATTCTATGAATTTGTTTGAACTGCTTGTGGATAGCAGAAGTTTGTGGGCTGATTAAATAGTTCTCTAATAACCCCGAAGTCTTGGCAAGTTCTGGCACAGAACTTGCTGGTGGGTGATGCTGCCTTTCCAACAGAACACAGGACCTTTGTAGGGAAGCATTGAAGGGCTGAAGCTCTGAAGTTCATGGAACAACTTTGTATAAATTGACAAACAAATTAGGTATGCTAAGCATAAAGCATAGGAAGTTAAAAATACTAATTAGGAGTTTTTTAATCTGATTATTAATTATGAGTGCACCGGAGCTCATATTTTCAATCTGGCATTGCCTTAAAGGGAGATAAAATACAGCAGTACATCTGAGTATATTGGAACATAAGTGTTGGGATACAAAAAACTAATTTAATTTTGAATTTTGAATTTAAGCAGCCTTGTATTTCTGGAAAGCTTAGTGCTTGGACGTATCTATAACTTCTGTCAATTTTCTCACCTATGACAGAATGTGAACTTTTTGAAAGGCTGAGTAGGGATGATGCTGGTAGTGTGAAAGTGGTAGGGGAAAAATGTCTACCAAGCACCTTCTGACAGGTTAAGTCACCTTCTTGCTGTGACAGGCTGGCTAAGTTGACAAAAAGCTCCCATTGTCTCTCTCTGCAGTGTATCACAGGTAAAACAAAGCTAATTTTCTCCCTTTCCTTCTGAAAATATGGGTTTTAAGGTTTTAACTCTATTGCATGTTACATTCATTTTATCCTACTCCCTCCCTCACATACTGTGGGAACCTTCTGTAAGAGAGGAACACGTGTTTAAATACCCTACTATGAAAAATCCACTTATAAGGAGTACTTTGATAAATCACATGGAATTTCTGAGTGTATGGAGATGGAATCTAAGCACACGCCATGTTCAATCTAATTTTTGGTCATTATTGTATATTATGCTCCACCCTGCTTCTCAGTTTAATACACTTCTTTCCTCACTCTGCAGTTCTGATACCTTTGAAACATTCTGGCTATTACAAACCAGCTACAACTAAATAAAGATTACAGCATGGAAAGTTAAGTTACTGATACTGCCTTCTGCAGTAGGGACGGGTTTTATTTCATGTGTGTTGGGATATCTTGAAAATCTGGTAGGAAGACCTTTAGTCTTCAGCACAAACCTCTCTGGTAGTAAAAGTTTTCTTGAATGCCAAGCCTGGCTTTTTCTCACTTTCAGTGAGAGTACTACTCGTGAAAACATCACATCTGATCTGATCTTCTTGTTTTGGTTTTTTAATGGTATGAACATTTCTGTGCCTGCTTTTCACAGTTCGTGAACCTTTAGACTTGAGACTGAGGGGGAGATGGCAAAAGTGCCTAATTTCAGATCTTCAGAGGTGTCAGTAAAAAGAATCTGTGTAAGTTAGTACCACTTCCACATTCATATTTGTCATCTCTGTAGGGAATGTTTTCTTGTTTAATTCATAGTGGAACGAGCCTCTGGGACACATTATCCTTGGCTCTTATTTGCCAAAGTAGTGTTCCCCCTTGGCATGGACTTATAGCTTAAGGGAAGGAAATGACACACTGTTTGTATGTGGCAAGCTAGGTCTGGCTTTGTGTAGATCTGGCTTTTGATGAGTGTTGGGAGCCCTTCTGTTTCACTGCTGTCTCTTCTCACCACACAAGCTGAGTCCTCTGACTGCCACACGCTTCGGTTTAAGTGCCTACTTACTAAGCTTTGCATTGTCACAAGATATGTTATTCAGCAACTTCAAGGTTTTGCTTCCCTTGCTCTTCCAAGCTGGAGAAACAATAAACGTTTTTCCTCTTGCTTCCACTTATTCTGGAATTACAGTTATTTCACTCAAAACAATTGTGTTTTTCTTGCTTGAGTTTAACTGGCACAGAACAATTTGGCATTACTGTCTGTGACACGTGAAAAAGAGGTAGTCAGGCTTTTCCTGAAGGCTAACTGAGGGAAGGATTAAAAAATAAAGCTTTGCTCTGCGCCAATGAGGCTTGGTGCAAGTGCTGTGCCTGGAACCAGCAGAGTAAGGAAGACTTGTGGTACTTGAATCGAGGGAGTGCCATGGGGCAGCCGAAGTAGCATTCTGCCTAAACACAGCTGTATCATTCAACTGTTAGCTCAACTTAGAGACAATTAACTCCTAAGTAATTTGAATAGTTCATTGCAGGCTGCTCAACTAGCTTTCCCTTAGGGGTTTTTAAGTCAGGGATTAATGGGGGAAAATCAGACTGTCAGGCACTCTCTAAATGGTGAAGCTGTGTTGGCAAAAGCAGTAACTGCTGTCAGCTTTTCAGATGAGATAAGTTCAAGTGAAATATTCCAGTTACATTTGCATGTTAAGTGATCATGCAATTGATGAAGCGAGGAACAGAATAATCTTTTTAGCATCACTTACTGCCTGTACATGGGAATTAATCCTGAGTTTCAGTCTCACTTGTGTTAGTCATGGCACCCCATGCTGATAGTAAGAACCTGTGTAGTGGGTTGACCCTGGGTGCGTGCACCCACCAAAGCTGCTGTATCACTCCACAGCTGGACAGGGGAGAGAAAATACAACGAAGGCTTCCTTAGTTGAGATAAGGACTGGGAGATATCCCTCACCAAATACTTTCACAGGCAAAACAGGCTCAAATTAGAGATAATGAATTGAATTTATTACTGACAAAACCAGAGCAGGATAGTGAGAAGTAAATAAGACCTTAGAAATAACCTTGTTTCCGCCTCTCCCTCCTTCCCAGCTCTACCTCCCCTAGGGCTGCAGGGATATGGAATAGGAGTAATAGCCAGTTCATCACACATTGTTTTCTCCTACTGGTTAGGGAGAGGAATACTTCTCCTGCTCCATAATGGGGTCCCTGACATTGGGAGATAGTTCTCCATGAACTTCTCCAACATGAGTCTATCACATGGGCAGCAGCTCCCCCAAACTATTGCAGCATGGGTCACTCTTGTGCAGGGTGCAGTCCTTTAAGGGCAAGCTGTTCCAGCATGTGTCTCTCCACAGGGTCACAAGTCCTACTAGGAAACCTGCTCTGGTATGGGCTTCTCTCTCCATGGATCTGCAGATCCTTGACAGGACCCTGCTCCAGCACAGGCTCCTCTCAGACATTCACCTGCTTGGGTGTTGGGCTCCTGAACTCCTCGATACCAACATGAAGAGTATGAGTGTGTTGGCAGGTGCTAAACCGTGGGAGTTAGGATGTTTCACTTAAGCATGATCAAGTATGGTATGGAAATGGAATTCATAAAGGGCATACTGAATGAAGCAACAAATTGGACAAGCTTTGAATACACAACAGGTTCATACATGATTTTCTAAATGCACAGCGCAGACAAAATTACTTGCTCTCCGTCTTTTAAAATGAAGAATTCTGCAGGGAGACAGTAAAAAGTCTGAAACTGCCTAGGATTTGCAATATGCTATATTTAGAAACTGTTACTCTACAGATAGCTTCTGTACAATGCCTGCACTTGGGAGTGAGAAGTGCAGGGTGTAGTGTTAGTTAACTGACAGCCACGAAATTTGCACCCACCCTCTACCCTTAATTTTTCCCCCATCCCAACATTGAGGTGTGGAATGCTTAACAGAGTAGTAGGCTTAAATCTAGGTAACAATACCCTACAATGCTACAGGATAATGACTTCCACTATATTTATTTCTCCTGGTTCTTAGCCTTCATTATCACTACAATTCCCTTTCAGTAGTTAACAGAAGTTGACTAAATGAAGTTTGAGAAGACAGTGTCTCTGATAAAAATTAATCATTTTAAGATTAATTAAGAGAGCTAGAATGAGACAAGTTAGGCAAAAATCCAATTAATTACCAGCACACTTGATAGCTAATGGAGTGTTCAATCTTTTATTTGCACATAAATGTGTATTCATATAAAACTTCATTCCATGTAGGTGTAGAGGCTGTCTTTTTTATTTGGCATATGCTCTCTGGGATTCAGACTGTGCTCGTGTTTTCTGTCATGAGATCTGTACTCTTTGCAGAAACACTTTAATATTTCTAGAGCTCGTGTTAGCATGGAAAATATCAGACCTTCTGCTCAGTTTGCATCTTCTTTTTTTAAATAAATTGCTCGTTTTCATGAACTGTGCTGAAAAACATGTCACCAAAGAAGTAACTTTTTGATAATTTACTTCTGATAAATGTTCTTTAAAAATTTGATTTCATGGTAGGAAAATTCAGTTAAACACTATTGATGTTGGTCATTCTTATATAAAAAGCTCTTAAGTGTTGTAAACAACAAAATTCTTTGTTGTCACTAAATCTTCTGATTAAATATAAAACCGTTTTCAAACCACATTGCAAGGTTTAGTCAAGTGGATTTTTTTGAATTGCCACAGAATGGCTCTGTGTGTTAGCTCATAGTGAGTCTCATAAGTTAAAAATGGCTCGTGCTTTGTCTCCCTAATAGAAAGGCACATACTGAATTGGATTTCACAGTTTATTTTCTTTTAAAATCAAATGCTTAGGTAATA